TCTGTTTTGACCTCATGCACTGAAACCAAAGACCATCACCAAACAGCAAGCCCCAAAAGCCAAGGGGCACCGGTACCCACCTAGCACCCCTCTGGGGTGGCACCACATACGGCCTGGAGAGCTGCAGGCAAAGCTTCTTACTGGTTGCAGGAGGAAGGAGAGGAACTCGCTCTGCCCTTCCAGGGAGCTCCAGGCTCTTTTCCCCAGTTGCAGCAATGTTGCGGGTGGAGGGTGCAGGGTCCACATCCCCATTAGCACACTAGGGAGACTGAGGCACAGAGAATGTATTTGTGTTAGGCCTCTACATCAGAGATGGGGTTTGCTCAGGTCACCTGGCCACCCCACCCAGGCAGACATAGCGAATGACAGCCCCGGGAGAGGTACCCAGTGGAGAGACAAGTGCAGCCCAAGGGACAGAACAGAGACTGGGACTCTGCAGCTCTTCTCCCAGCTCTGCCACTGAGTGGCTGGGTGACCCTGACTAAGTCACTTTCCCTCTTGGTGACTCAGTTTCCCTGCCAGGAAGGCAGTCCAACCTCGCTTGCAAGGTGCTCTGAGAGGCAGGGAGGAAATCCGTTACCTCCATGAGTTCTTGCCTCTTACTGCCCCTTGTCTGGTCCCAGGGATGGTCTGAGGAAGAAACAAACCTACATTCAAGCCAGAAGGATCTTCAATCAGACAGCACAGGACACTTTTTTTCTTTAAGTTTTAGTTTGTATCCGAGGCCAAATTAGCCAAAACGAATTCCAAATCCAAGAGTCCAGAACCATAAGTGGCTCTACTACCGGCAAACATCTTCCACCCACACCTGGGGCTCCAGATGTTTCCAAAGCCTTTGACAGGCATCCTACTTGCAGGCCCAAGCCCGGAGGCTTAGGGTTCAGATGCCTCCAACTTTTGCTTGCCCTTAGCCATAAGGCCCTTGGACCAAGCAAGGGAGGAGACTCCCATTTCCATAAACTGGGCTTAAAGCTGCTGTGTCTCGGCGGGTACCGAACCACGCCAGAAGAGCAGTTCTCCTGTGGAGCAGTTCAGGAAAACTGCCTTCTTGGACACAGATACATGGTATTTCCCCTGCCAGGTTAAGAAGCCACTACACTTGATCTGAGCCTTCAAGAGGCCAAGACGGGCCAACCAAAGGATGCACCTGGCAAAGGAGCACCTATTTATAAAACAAAGGCCCTGGGGCTCCATAAGCCACGACCTTGATCTTGCAGCGAGCTGCAGAAAGGCAGCCCCGGTGTCCTGGGAAAGCCCCTTGAACCCTAAACCACCCCGCAGGGGTCTGCCAGTTGGGCTTCGCTCTCACAACTGGCCTTGCATGGGCTTCCATGGCATTCTGCCCGAGCGCAGGGGTCTGCCAGCATGGCGCAGACCCAATGCCCTAAAAACGCCGCCATAACTGCAGAAGGTGCAGCCACGTGACACAACAGGGTGGTGGGGACAAAGGGGCAACTTCTGAACCCAGCTACTGCTACCAGAGGAACACAGTCCTCTTTGGGCCTCTCACAGCTGGATGCCAAGCAGTGAAGAGTCTGATTTAGTCTTCCACATAACCACTCCCCTGCCAGGGACTCTCTGCCCTGGAGGGACACAGCACTGAGGTGCCCAGGCTGCAGCTCCCCACCGCCTGCCATTGAGCTGGTCAAGCCAGCCCCACCAGCACTCAGCCTTTGGTGCAGTGAGCGCTAATCTGATTTGCTGTGCGGAGCAGCGGCAGGCCACTTCCTGCAGTGATTTAACTCGTCAAAGGGCAGAGGGTGCATTGTGGACACCGCAGCCACTAGCTGGCGAGGAACTGAAAGCTGCAGAGGATACAAGGGCAGAAATCCTCCTCCTCCTCCTGCTGCAGAGACCTTTCGGCTGCTTAAGGTGTTCCCCATCCTGGCCCCACCGCACAGAGCTGCACAGAAATGGGGCGCATATTGGGGTACAAAGACCACGACAAGAGCCAGATGTAAGACGAGCAAAAGTCCTTTGAACAGCAAAGGAACAAGCCTATTTCCCCGTTCTATTTCTGGCCACACTTTCCCTTCTGCACTACCGACACTTCACTGTTTGGAGAAGTGCATTTTTCCCATGCAGACCAAAGCCCTGGCATTGGGTGGCATCACCTCAGGCATGACGTGAACACAACCATGTCCATCCCAGAGACACACAGCGTGGCACAGAGCAGATACTCTGCAGCTGGAAGGATGCTGAGCTGTCGGAAGAGAAGCTAACAAGGTCTGCAAGGCCTGTGCAGAGCAGTTTGCTGTCTTGCATGGACAGTCCCTAGCGGAGAAAACCACAGCGTCCAGGTGGCAGGACGTCTGGGTGAGCAGGTGGTAGGCCCCTCTCTGTGCTTCTCCCAGAGGGAACAGGAACCTGTTACCACCCAGGCTGGCAAACGTGGCTGTAGAGCTCATGCAGTAGTGGCTCTGGCTTTCAGCTCTGGAAATCCCTGGTGCAGTCCCCAGTGCGCCAGCCATCATGCAGACAAGTGATCTTCCAGGATGCAACTGCTCCAGGCCACAGGATGTGCCTTCTTTGATCAGAGGAAGTACGTAACCCTCTGGTCAGCCCATGTACATGAGCAAGGGCATGTGTACACACAAGACCGATCATCAAGGCTAAATATGGAGGAAGTCCGAGGGTCTCCTCTGCCCAGGAGTGAAAACATTGCTGCCCCCTGCTCCTCGCAGTGCCAGGAAGGAGGTTTGGAGTCCCAGCTGGCTGCTGCCCACGGACCTTCTCTCACAAGCTTCTGGCTGGCGGCAGGACAAGGAGCTTCGCTGCCTTCCATCACAGGCTGCCGATGGAGGAAGGAAGGGTGGTCTGCAGCCGAGACCCCTGCTGCGCTGGGCACCTGGGCTTTCTGCTCTCTTCTCAGGAGGCAAGGATTCACCGAGGAAGCCTTCTCTCTCCGCTTCTGGGCTCCAGTGGGGGCTTTCTGCGGCTGCCCCTACTTTGGGGCCTCACCCTCCTACCCTGCGGGCACCTCCGACACCTCCAGCTGTTGCCTTCCATGCCCACCCCACCTCCAACACAAGCAAGAAGCCAAACGGCTGCTGGCTGGTTTCACCGCTGCCAAAGGGGCTCTGAAGATCTGCTCTGCGCACGTAGCCACTTGGAAAAAACCGAGCATCAGCTGAGGCACCAGAGCAGCCTGCAGACTTGCACATGCACATCCCAGGAAGAAGGTTGACTGCACAGCCATGAGGGCTAGAAACCAAAACATCTTCAATTCTCCAAAAATCAGACGGCTCGGGCTCATCACCACGAATGACCTCCGCACCCAGATAGCGGGCTGGGGCATGAGCCTGCCAATGCAGGCAGGGCAGGTGTTTCTGCCGAGCACATCCAATCACCTCCCACGACTTGCCCACCCTAGTACCTCCCTGGAGGGGCTGGTAGCTGTGCTCAGTTGCCTTTAGAAACATGGCAAGGAGACCAAGGAAGAAAGAAACCCGTTAGGCTGTAAATACAATCTCCAGTCCCCCGCTGGCCAGGCCCCGTATCTGTCTAATCAAATTCTGTATTTACTTGGGAAAGGAGTGGCTGGGTTTGATGTAGCTCAGACTGGAAGTGGAAGATCATTACTGTTTTTAACAGCGAAGACTCATCAATGAAAAAACACAGCCACATCCCACAGCCAGTTGCTGCCAGAGGCAGTCTTCAAAGACACCCCTGCTGCAGCGTGCCTCACCCAGGCAGCCTGGGCTACCTCTTGATAACCGTGCCGAAAGGGATGGCGCAGGGGGAATCTGCCCCTTTCAAGACCAAGCAATTGGTTTTAAAAGGGGCAGATTCCCCCTGCACCGAATCACAGCTTCAAGCCCTGGTAGGCACAAGTAAAAGCCTTCTCCGCTTTGCAAGAGGAGAGACCCCCCCGGCACTTCCCCCAAGAGGTTTGCTTCTCACCTCTCAGTCCTCTGCGGACATGTGCCGGTCTGTTGACATCCTCCATCCCAGAGGTTGCTTCACACGGAGGTGCAACCATCTCCAGCAGCCCCACACTTCTACTGAATGGGACCACTGCAATGGGGAGCATAGCCCCCGCTGGAAAGTGTTTGCAGACCCAGGCTGTGGATGGACCAGGCCGCTGAAGAGCACACAGTGCGCTCAGACATGACCGTCTCTCCCCAGCCTCGATTTTTTTGCTAAACGCCCCGAATCAGCTCCCGCATGGTAGAATTTAGAAATCCCAAAGCAAGTTGACGATTAAATCCTCCGAGCAGAGCTGAACAACAGAGAAAGCACGCGGGCAATGAGAATAAGTCAACCCGAGCACAAAAAACACATTCAGATAGCTGCTTTTTATCCCGTGTCTTTTTGCACCAAAGAGAGAGGAGAATAAACACTTGGTGGAGAAGAAGTGGAGTGTTTTCTGCGCGGCACCTCTGTTTTGAGACGGGGGGGAGGTTCCCTCAATGCCGATACCCGCATGCTGCCACATCCCCAAGCAGATTGCAAGAGGCCTGCCACAAAGCCCCAGAGACCCTGGCGAGGGAGCACCCGTCTGCCCCGAGATTCCTGCACAGGACCAGGGGAAGCGGTGCAAGGACCGGTGGCTCCATTCAGGGTGCAGGGAAGGCATCTGCCCTTCCAGCGGGGAGCGTGCTGGGGCAAACGAGGGGGGGGACGAGGCAGGGCCGTGCAGCCCAGCGACACCAGGATGTCATGCAAACGAGGCGGCCGGGGTCCGAGCAGGCCCTGGGTACCAGCCCCGGACTAACTTCTAAACTAGGCCCGGTCGCAGCCCACCGCAGTCTGCAGAGACAGGAACAGAGGAAGTCGAATGACGGGAAGGGAAAGGTGACCCAGACAAACAGGATGGCAAGCGGCGAGCAAAAAAAAAGGCTTCGAAACACAGCCCAGCGCCAGGCAGACGCAGCCCGAGAGAGACGCACGCCGGGCATCCGGGGCCGCGCCCGGACCCCGACGCTCGCGCGCCCCCCGCTCGCCCCCAAGCCACCCCCCAGGGCGGGGGGCAAGGCCGACCCGCGGCACCCCCGTACCTGTCCAGCGCAGCCTGCGGAGGCCTCACGCTCATGGTTCCTCCGCCCGGTCCTCGCGGATCCCGAAATTCCCGGCTGGATCGGGGAGGGGGGAGACGGGAAGGGCGGGG